GGGAGGGGAAGCAATGGTGTAGGCTAGAAGGAAGGCCAGAGGCTGTCTCTCAAAAGAGTTCTCTAGGGAGCGCAGTCTATGATTGAGTCTGGTGTCCTTGGAGCTGACAGTGAGAAACAAAGATTGTACTTGTAGATCTCTAGATCTAGATCTAGAACTCTAGATATCCACTCTAGAACTATCCAGCTGAAAGGGAATTTACAGCTTGCTTCTCTGGTAAATTTCACAGATGAAGCAAAAATACAGTGTTGACGGGACTTTATCAAAAGAAAAGGCACAGGAAGGACTTAAGTTTCCCAGTTTCTAGTTGCCTCTACCTCCCACAAGTTTGTCCGTGGAGGTTCCAGTCCCACATCTGGTGGAGACAATGTTATATGGCTACATGGACGGTATCCCACAAACAGGTGTTGACACAGGGATTCTTTTAGGACAAGAGGAGTTCTGCAGAATTCAAAGGGATCATCCTCTTGGCAATATCACCACTATAGAGCTTTATGTATCTAATGCTGATTTGAGTTGGATTCTGAGAATCTGCACTGGCCAAAAAGTTTAGAAACTTTTTATAAAAAGGAAGACTTGGGGCACCTGGGTGACTCAGTCAGTTGAGCGTCCCATTCTTGGTTTTGGCTCAGGTCATGATCTTGGGGTCATGGGATCGAGCCCCATGTCGGGCTTTGTGCTCAGCGGGGAGTCTCTACGGTATTCTCTCTCTCCCTCCCCTCCTCTCTCTCTCTCTCTCTCATAAATACATAAATAAAATCTTTTATAAAAAGGAAGACAAGAAACTTTTTGAATCAGAAACACGATGTATTTGTGGGTTAGTAAAGCATTTAAAATAAAAATCATTTCCAGATACTATACTACTATGTAAGATGTGGCTATTGGTTACTAAATAAATACACTTTCTAAATTCAGTGGCAACTTGTCTTCTCCTACCTGATGTATTCATCAGTCAACATGTTCTGAGCAACTAATGCAGGCATTTAGGAAATATTTAGGAAATACATGGGAGTGGAGGACACGAAGACCAATTAAGTCTGTCTGTTCACGTATCTGTAATACAAGAGAATGGGTGATAAAGCGCAGAGAAGCAGGGAAGAAGGGCTTAGGAGGATAACCTGGGCAGCCAGGAGGAACTGGCTGTTGGAGCGAAAGTATGATTTTGAGAGTGGGGAGGCATGGGGAAGGTGGCACAGGAATGAAGGACATTTACGTAGATGGCAGCCAGGTGCAAATGTAAGGGGGATGTGCGCAACCAGGTACAGATGAACTGACCATGTTGCCCAGCACCGACATTTTGCCTGGATGTCAGGGGGGTGAGGTAGAAGGGCAGGCAGATCAGGACCAGGGTGCGGGAGACTCTGAGTGTCAGACCTGGGGTCTGATCTTGCTTAGGTAGGCAACAGACAGGTGCTGGTGATTTCTGGGCAAGGAATGGCTGAATTCAGAGGGTGTGTGCAGGAGAAAGGAGACATTGAAGTCAGTAACAGTAATGAGAAAATGATCACAATGGCCAAGCCGATGAACTATTCTAGAACTAGGACAGTGGTAGTGAGAAACGAAAGAGGAGAATGAACGTGAGAGCTGAGTGATCTAAGCCTGTCTGATTGACAGGGAAGTGCAATAACCTCCCTCCATTACTCAGAGCCACTCTAACCTGCGAAGTACTCTGCCCATTGTCATCTGAGAGCACAAAGGACTTACAGATGTATAATTTCATGCTTGCCGCCGCTAACGAAGGGGGTGTTTAAGACTTGCACAACTCTACATCCTTGTCCAAAGCGTATCTTTCCATCAGAAGAGAAAAAAGTGACAACCATGTCCTAACCAATCCTCACTAGGAACTGCCTACTGTGAAAACCGCTCACACAAGAGGAGAAAAAAAGGTCAAATTAGAAAGTTATCGCTTGGGGGCGCCTGGGTGGCTCAGTTGGTTAAGCGACTGCCTTCGGCTCAGGTCATGATCCTGGAGTCCCGGGATCGAGTCCCACATCGGGCTCCCTGCTCAGCAGGGAGTCTGCTTCTTCCTCTGACCCTCCTCCCTCTCATGCTCTCTGTCTCTCATTCTCTCTCTCTCAAATAAATAAATAAAATCTTTGAAAAAAAAAAAAAAAGAAAGTTATCGCTTGTAACATTTCATCCTGCATTCATGTAGAACCATTTCTGCTTTGCCAAGCCCTTTCCTACTTATTTTCTCATTTTTCCTAAAGCAGCCCTTGGGGTATTAATAAAGCGTGGGAATTACTGGCCCCGTTTTACCGAAGAGAGGTACAATGCCTGCCCTCGAACACACGGGACCGACCAGGCCCGGAGTCTCCCAGCTCCTCCTGATCTTCCATGCCTTCACCACGTGGGCTCAGTGAAAGGCGAGGAAGTGGTCTGAACTTCATGGGATTTAAAATAGACACTGGTTGGATAAGATATGGGTGCTATGAAAACCCAGCCAGGGGAGCAGATAAAGGCTGCCCAGAAAATGTCCTCCACCGAGTGAAACACAATCCAGAGTCCAGCTGGGAATTCCATTGCTGCCTTGGGTTTATGAATTGTTTATTTTTATTTCTTGGCTCGAACCCTTCATTCCTGCCCTTGTCTCTTGTCATCTCCCTCCTTCCCCCTCTCTTTCTTCTCCTGGAAGCCAGAGCCCGGCTCCGCACATACACACACGTCCGCGTTGAACACCACTGTCTAAAAACACAGCTCGCTCTAAAAAGCTTCATCTCCTGCAGGTGGCACAATTTAAAAATTTAAAATGGACACCCAAGGCACATACCATATCACGATCAGCCTTCGAATCATTTACCCTGCTTATTAAAGACCCAGAAATAAAATAAACAGAGTTCCCAGCGGAAAAGAAATAAACACACAGTGAGAGATTCTTGAGAGTGGCATTTTCAAGCCCAGTTTCTGTGGTAAGCTTATGTAATCAGACATAATTGTCCGCACATGTCTGGCTACAATCTTTCAGAAATGATTCCCAGTCCACCTGATAGCGTCAGAGGGGTCAGTGTTGACCCCCGCAGAGTCTGAGCGCCACCCTCTTCTGCACTATCCAATTAGGAAGCGAGGATGCCACAGAGCAGAACTGTGAGCCCATTTCCTGCCTACTCGCATAGACTTTCTGCAGCTCATATTCTCCTCCCCACACTCTGGTACTTTCCTCTTGTCTTCCACTTATACAGAGCAAAGCTTTTTCTGGAAAAATCTTTTGAGATAGAAGATGTATCTCAAAATGACTCAGAAAACACATAAATGCATATGTGCGTAAACTGCCCACCGCACCCCCCCTCCCCCGACAAGCACAGAGCAGCCTCATTCGTCTGGGGTCCGTTTTTGAGAACATACTTCTCCACCACAGTATCTTGTGTTTTTCTAAGCAGGCTTCCAGCAAGCCAGCCATTAACATGGTAATTATAATTAGCATAAGCACAAGAAGAGAAGAATGCCTCTGCTCTGGAAAATCCTTTCTGGAAAAGTGACAGGATTGCCCAGAGTACATTCAACAGGGTTAGCTTTGACCTCCTCCATCTCCTGCCAGACAAGGACTTGATAAATATCATACAAATTCAGAGGGGATTCTGCCTAAAGAAGGTAGAAAATAAAGCGCTCCTAATTGGCCGGGGCCTTAAAAAGTCACCAAGACACTTAGGACCTGGTACTTGACTCTTCTCTGACATCCTGACTGAGTAGCTAGCTACGCCATGTTTGAACGCTCTGATGACGCGGAATTCTTGACTTCCAGAGGCAGCCAATCCCTTCTCTGGACGACTCTGACTGGGAGAAAGGCTCATCGAAGGTCGAAGTGAGAGGTGTTTCTCTGAATCTTCTTAGTGCTCCTATCCTTGCCCCGCTTAGATCACTCATGACGAATCCAATCTTTCTCACAAATAGCATGTCTAAAACTACTATATACCACCCACAGCTTCTCATTTATGGGCTAAGAATTCCTAATTCTTGCAACCAGTCCTCGTGATGAACCTGTTGGTATTCTGTTGATTCCTTCCAGTCTCGCCTGAGTCGTGTCTGATTTGACCAATGCAGGGTCGAAGGAGCCCTCACCTCCCCCACTGCACACACTCTACCTCAATTAGTATAGACTAGGATGACATTAACACGTCACGCCTGCCTTTCCTTCATCCCATCCCCAATTCATTTGAATCATAACACGAGAAACAAACAACCACAACAAAATCATCACCATCAATCAACCGCAGTTTTCTTCTATAGTTCTGAGCCAATGGTTCTACTGGAGCCTCCTGCGACCTCTAAAAGCCCAGGAAATGACCCCTGATGTAAAGAACAGCCTCCTTTTCCAGGCTGCCTCTTGCCCTCGCTTGCTGTCACCGCTGCTGAGATAGCGGACGATTGATCTGAGAAATCAAGTTGGATTGCTGTCCCAAATCTACATTCGGTTCTCCTTGTGTCTGTCTGATCGATTTCACTCTGTGCGACACAGCTTGTCGCTATGAATTTTCATGCTAGTCAGAAGCCGCCAGCGCGCCCAAGAACGAGGAGAGGGTCCCGGCGCCCCTCCCCGTCCCTTCCACGTCCCCAGCCTCGGCGTTAATTTCTTTCTGGTTTCCGTCCTTAGCCAGACTGGAGAAAGGTGCTTTTTCAGACCACAGACCTGGATGCAGTGGATCTGGGCTACCGGTTTTCCTGCCCGGGGTCCCCGGGCCCCGGCTCGTGGTGACATTTCCGACCGCTGTTGTGTCACCTGTTCAGCAGGCGCCTCTCAGCTGCACGCGAGTGGCCGCAGGTGCCGGGTGGACACTGATTGGGTGTGACAGCCCTCGACGCCAGCTGCCCGCGTGCAGCCTGCCCGTCGTCACTTGCTTGCGGGGAGAACGCCGCCGATGGCGTGGCCGATACGGAAACGAGAAACTAGGGGACGGTAAAGCTAAGAGAAGTCCTACTAAGTGGCATTCCGAGCCCTACGGCTTTGAAATAATTGGTTATGAGAGAATAAAAACAAAAGGGGTGGGGGAGCCTTGTTTTCTTACACTGATGCCCTGCGGACTGTACATCTGACTGGCTGCGAGTCCGTCACTGTATCCTCCTGTCTGGCTGATAACATGGCGAAGGGTATCCACCTAAACAGATGAACAACAACAGAGAGGAGATTAGTCAGGGAGATGCAGGGGGAGGGAGGCAGAGCATCATCACGCAAGCTACCGCGTGGGCATGCCGGACTGACACAGTCCTGGCCGAGGTATCCTTCCCGGGAGGGGGCCGCTGGGAGGAGGCCGGCCTCTCTAGCTGCCACATCCGTTTTCCTTTCTGAGTTCAGTCAGTGAGACAGGAACACGGTCAAAGGCACCTGGGATGCCCACCACTGAAACTAACCCACAGTGCTGCAGGAGACGGCGGGGGCTGGAGGGCAGGGGGCAGCGAGAGGGTACAGAGTGAAGGAGCTCCCCCGCCCCAGAGAGATCACCCTACATCGCTTCACCCTATGCAAGTCCAGGCTCTGTCTGGAGGGGGCTTGGGCAGCCGCCTCCCAGAGAGAGCAGTATGTGACTAACACTGTCCTTGTGAGGACTCAGATGATGGCTAGCTGTGTGGTCGCTCGACCAGATTGACCACGGCTCCTCATACTTGTCCCCAGGCCGTGTTTCCTGAATCACTGGCCAGGTGGTTTCTTCCAGGCGTGAGGTGCTTCCTGTTGCACATGCAGGGTGGGAGACTGGGCTAATGGGGCTCAGAACTTCCCTAGCCATCTGACCCAGAGCATTCGACTTGACCCTCTCACGGCAGGCTCTGTGCTGAGACAGTAGGCTGGCTTCCTGAGATGTAGTAAAGGCAGGCTGTTCGCTAATGGGCACCAAGGGTTTACACCACACGACCTGACTTCGCTTCCCAACATGGGCTCTGACTCTTGACCAGAAACCCAAGTCCCTCAAGGATGATTGAGAAGATGAGTTTAGTCAACCTGGCCAGGTGTTTTTAAAGCTTGAAACGAAAATAGGAGATACAAAGGTATTTGCCTACTCATCAATTACCTCCTTATTTGGCAAATATGGAGTGTGGGAAACCCACAAACAAGAGGGAGACCTGCAACGTCAGACAACGGACTGAACTCCTCCTCCCTCTCCCTTCAGCGAAGAAAGAATACTCTGGTTCTACGTGCCCGATGGGCCTTGACCACCTCACCCTGTGCTTGCTTCTCTCCTGCTTTCCCAGTGTGGCTGACAAGCCAGAGCCAAATGCATTCACAAAGTGTGGACGAGATTTCCCATGACCATGGCTGTCTTTGGTTTGGTTTTGTCGTTGGCAAGATTTTGTTTCTACATTTCCCTCTCTCTCTCCCCCTTTCTCTGTTCCTCTCTTTCTCTCTCTCCCTCTCTCACCCTCTCCCTCGCTCTCTCTTCCTCTCTCTCTGGACAGGACTGGCAAGTGCCAATACAACCGAGGGCTCTTGGACTCCAATGCATTCACCTGGTGGCACATTGGCTGGGTCCCTACCTGTGACTGCACGTTGGCTCCAACCTGGGCCCCTTGGTAAGAGTCCCCATTGAGTGACTGCACGCCCATGAACAAATCTCCAGAGTTTGACATGTTAAAAGAACTGGAAGAACCTGGAAAGGAAAGAGTGAGGCACCTGAATCACAGAAAGGAAAAGGCTCAACCCCTGCAACTAACAGCCAAGAGGAAGAATGACATGCAAAGCAACCCCCCCAAATAAATACTAAAATAAAAATAACATCAACAGAGTCTGGTTAGTAGCATGAAGAACAGAGCAAGCAATAAAGGGTGCATATCGCTCATGTTATGTGAAGCCACATCTTACTGCAAGTTGCCAATAGGACTGTGTCCCCTTAACGACTTCAAGCTGAGAAAGGGAGTATTTATTCGCATTTATTCTTCTCAACTTAGTCTATCTGAATTGGAAATGGTCTCCAGGACCTCTCTTTCATGCCCGCAAAATTCTAGGGTTGCCAGGGGACCACAAGCTGAAGAATATGGGCTAGTCAATGGTACTTCCGTCACCATGATGGAGCACACGAGCTATTCGGCTGGTTTCCAAATATGCTATTGCCAACCCATCTGCCCTCACATGGGAAGCAGCCCTGGTGAGGGAGGGTGGGGAGTGCACGAAGGCAATGCCACACATTAGGGCTGGCCCCGGGATGGGGAGTCCATTGACATTCCTGATTTCTAGAAAGAAGGTTAAGCTCCTTGCTGGGTGGCAAGCAGCCCAAGAGAGGCTCAAGGACTGCAAGAAGAATGTGAGAATGGTGACGTCTTCCCTTGCCACCTGCTATTATGGAGGAACATGAAACAGAATAATGGGCCCGGAATTCTGAAGCATGCATGAAATATGAAATGCTAATAATAACACGATAATAATAAAAGTGGGCCTCAAGAAGAGCAGTCAACCATCTGCTTTTCCCTCCCAGAGAAGAAGCCTTCTCCCACATAGTTAGCCTTCAGGCAGCACCCAGGTTGCACTGTGATAAACCCAGCCCACCCTCAGCCTCAACACAAGGGCGTGGAGAAGCTTCTTATTATTCTGAAGTCATCGTGCAGCTCAGCGCATTAGGAAAGAAAGCTCAACGTGCAGGGTTTGGTTAAAACATGACATTAGCCTAGAAAAGGAGAGACCTTAGGGACCCAGGTCAGTTCCACTCTATTTCCAACTCTGTCTTGCTCAAATTGTGCTCTTGTCCTAACATTTTGACAGCCATCATCCATGCGGGATCACCCAGCAATGATGCCCCAGCTCTGACACTTTCTTAATCTCCCAAGGTAGGGAACTGCGCTCTCCTAGAGGTCTATCTCCTGGAGCTCAAGAGAAGGCTTTTTCTGTGCCGTAAAAGAATCACTTCACCAGCAATGAATTCTGCACTCTGCCACTCTGCTCTATGCTGAACTGCTCATAGGATCCTCATACTTCCAAGGAGGGAGCCATTCTGAAGAACCAAATGGCTCACTTGGGGAGATTCTCAAGGTAGAAACATCTCTGTTTTTCTCTGTTTTGGGGATGTCCACCCACACGCAGGAACTAGCTAGCTCTTGTGCTACATAAGCTGATCCTCCACACTCTGTTGTCATGGGAAGAAGGGAACGCTTTCTTTGTGGGGGCGGGAGGGCGACTCGAGCCGGCCTGCATGTCCTATCCACATCCTTCTCAACCTTTCTTCTTATCAGAGCTACAACCTAAATAATGAGAGCCATTTTGTCATCATTCTTACAACACATGCTCACATTTAGATGGCATCAGAACCAGGAATTGTTAGCTCCAGGACCCCAAATTATAATTGTTTATATAATATCAGAACTTTTTGCCCCCCAAGAGTATTCAGTTTGATGCCCAGATACTTTCTTTCTCTCCCAAATACCACGTAGTAAACCCACACTCCTTATGCCTGGCTGACGGTTTGCTGGAAATGAGCACGCAGACTGAGAAATGGGAGAAACCCCCAAAGGGCTGCATTGGTGCCAAGGAACATGGCGTCCATGGAACCATGAAGGTATGGGATGTGCCATTTACAAGATACACACTGCAACTGACACAGATGATTTAAAAATATATGTGCATAGATAAATTGTAAACATGTCTGGCTACCTAACATACATAGAGATAAATATGTGCATATCAATGGCCTTCACGTACAAATGCACTTGAATCAGAGTAATTGCAGGAATCGTCCCTGTGCTCTTGCCTTGGCTATTCTGGCACTTTGTTGTCTCTGTACGGCCCTGTATTACATGACCACGGCTTCCGACTCTCTGATAAGTAACTAGAAGCAGGGATGGCTCTGAGAAGAGGCCAGGGGCCACGGACACCACAAGAAAGCAGACAGAAGCCCGTGCAAAACTCGAAATAAGGAGAAGACATGTTCTTCATTGGGCACTGGAAGGGAGAAAAAACTTATCACAAAATGGACAACTTCCTGAGAAGGACGTATCCTTGACAGAGAGCGAATGGGCTGTCTTGGAGGTGCTGCGAGGTCTCAAAGAACCCCGACGGAATTACCTGGCTTGCGGAGGAGGTCCGTCAAGAACCTCAGTGGCAGGTGGCTGGAAAGTCATCAGCAATTACTGGAAGCACATTTTAAGATGTGCTCACCAGTTAAAAGGTTCTGAGTTTGGAGTGGGAAGGGAGGCAGGTGGCTCGTGTAAGCTGTCACCCAGACATCTGGGACACGTACGGAGCTAAAGCTGCACTCCGCGGGAAACAACGGATCACCTCTGGATCCTAGTGCACTGGTTCCAGCAAATATGATGATGTGGAGATGTGCTAACATCCATTTTCACAAGGTCATTTCCTGAAGGCTGCATTTCTACTCTAAAGAGTCTTTAGGAGACTTCAATTTGTTCAGGGAAAAAATAAAAATAAAACAACAATTCACTTCATCATCACCCAAAAACCCCAGAATACTAATGATAAAATCTGAACTTAGAGCAAGGTTTCTGGACATGGGTACTATTGACGTTTGGGGCTGGAAAAGGGCTCATCGTGGAGGAACATTCTCTGTACCGCAGGATGGTGGTCAGCCACATCCCTGGCCTCTAGTCACCGGAGGCCAGTAGTACCTGCCTCCCAAAACCCTGACGACCAAATGTCCCCTGAGGTACCAGTTCACCCTGTTGAGAACCAATGACGTAGAATAAGAGAGGCTTTACTTTTTCTTACTGAGGAACTCAAAGGGTTTAAAAGGATTGGCTTGTTATTCCTCGGAGCATTTTTATGAAGCAGATGTATGACAAGTATTGCCTTCATTTTGCAGTTTTGAAATCAAGGCTCCTGAGAGACTGGGTGGCAGCCGATCAGACTAGACTCTCAACACCATTTGGAGGCTCAAAAGATGGAGCCTCTTTGCTAGATACAACTTCATTACGTCTCCAGCTTGCTTCTCTTATCTTCCATGATTATTCCCCTTCCAAACTCCAAAAATCATTGTTACTTTCTACCCAGGACAAGGCCCAAGACAGAAAGGCTGTCTGGTTCGACGGGAAACCCCTTTAGAAAGTGCACATGGCAAGGTTCTAGAGTTCCAATTCTGGCAGGCTGTGTTTTCATTTTCTACTTAGAAATTAAGGGAAGAAAGAGCACAGCAGAAAACATCCATGGGATACATTCTTTCACTTGGTTTAAAAAAAAAAAATTCTAAGAGTTCCTATGGATTTACTAAGTGTCAGCCAACCTCCCTGGATGTGTTACCTCCTCTCTAACTGTGTGTATTATATACATAAACTTCTCTTAGGAAGCCAGAATCTAGGGGGTTTTAATATGATCATCTTCCCCCAATCCAGAAAAGTGCCAAACCTTCTATTAGGGGTGTGACAAATTATGTACAAGGGCTTGCCCCTAACTAAGTAGTGCCAGAAGAAAAACTTTCATGGTCGAGCCTGCCGATGTCCTTGATACACACACACAGAGCCAGCAAAGGAAGATTCAAAGCGGGGGAGGGAGTCCTGAGCCTCAGTAAGCCTGCGATTGCTTCGCTAATCACAGAACCTAATCAAATATCAATGTCAATGCTATGCCACAGCAAACATCTGCAAGGCCCAAGCCAATTTCCTTCTTGGATGCTAAAATGTTCTCCAGAAGATAACCCAACCTTCCAAAAGGGGCCCCGTTTTTCTGAGACCTTACTCCTGCTTTTCTAAGTTCATCAAAAATAGAAATGAGAATGTGTCCCTGTAGGTGGCTGCAGAAGTATGGACCCAAGGTTATAACGATTGCTTCAAATGGCCCCCATTTTTGCTTCTTTTTTTTCCTGAAAACTTAATTTTCTTCTCTTCCTTCTATTCTCTCTCTTTGTTCCAGCCATTCTGCCCGACTCTGCTGGTGTCAAATATGAAGCATGCCAAGTATCTCTCTTTACATGCTTGCTCGTCCCCCACGGGTCCTCGCCCGAAGTGATTTTAATGAATTATGCTTAAGGAAATAGAAGATCAGGCATATATCAACAACTAGGAATATTCAGAAGTGACCTAAATAAAGACACTGAAGAACTGCTTGTCCACACAAAAGCCTCTAGAGGGAAGAAGATTTACTTGCCAAGTATCTTCTTTGCAATAGAAATGAGTATGTATATTTAGTAAAGTTTCTGGGAAAGAAAAAAATACCCTGCTTCAATATTAAGGATACAAAAAGTTCCCAGGTTCCAGAACTCTTAGACTTCCAACTCAGCCAAAATATATTTTCACATATTAACCTCTTATTTAAAACTTGTATCTATTTCAGTGATCCTTTACCCTTTGGAATAATCAAGGACCTAATACGCAACATCATAAGCACCCTATGTGAAAAGTTTGAACACTTTAAAGTTCTCACTTCATCTGTGCAATGCTTTGGGTTGTGATAAGAGCAAAGGAAAATACAGAAAAGCCAGTGTATAACTTTTCTGCTAAAACGTTAATGAATGAAAATCCCACGCTATTGCACATACACAATAGTATTTTCTTTTGTCTCTACTGTAAAAAAAAAAAAAAAAAAAGCACTACAAAGGGTTCCTCTGCATATTATTTCCAACAATTTAGGCACAACTGGAAGGCTTAGCTCAAATTTTCCATAATAATTTACTTTGTGCTTAGAATAGTCACCTAAGTTTAAGCTAGCAGAAAAATTCTTTAGAAAACTGTAATCATTGACTGACATTCCAAGAGAGCCAAAATAATTCTTAAACACAGAGTGGGGGGTTAAAATGCTTACTTTTCTCTTTTTAAGTGCTTTAGAAAAGAATAAAAAGTTACGGCTTTAGTAATGAAGGGAGTGCACAGGGCCCTTCTAGGGACTAGTCATAAATCATGCTCAACCATCTGCAATGCAGATATATCAGGGACAGGAAAAAGTCATTTTGATATCTGTTTTGCGTTATGACAACCTTTGCAGGAGTGGTGAGTGTGTTTTTGCTAATGTTGACAGGACTGTACTTCTTCCAAGACAAGTGAACACGTCTGCCTAGCAGCGCGATTCAACCAGTGTTGCCGGGAGTCTGAAATGCTTAATAGCTGACCAGATGGGGAAGAAGGAAACTCTCTGGTTACTGAGCCTCTTAGCCTTTATCCTTTGTCAATCATGCCAGGAGGGGGAGAGAAGGAAATACACACACACAAACCTCAAAAAGTAAATATGCTCCTCAGAGTTACCCAACCTGGTGTGCTAGGAAAAATATATAACCAGACAATTCACTACACTGTCTTACCACGTCCCTGCTTACAAAGCCCAGGCCACTCTTCATGCATGATTCCATTTAAACAAAAGAAGGCCATGGTGGTACAGCCCAGTGACTTGGGAGAACCTTATAACAAATTAGGGCATCTAGAAGCTCACAGAAGACGTTAGAGTGTGGAGCCTTACAGGCCTCCAGTAACAATCCACCATAAGGTAGAAAGAGAATTTATTTTAGTGAACAAATAAGCTTCGAGGTCAAAGGCACTTCCCAGAAATGTTAGAAATTAGATTTTTAATCATCTTATGGTCAAACACATTTAAATTTGCGACCCTTCAAGTTGGAGGCATCCGTTTTCTTAGATGTGCATCCCACCCCCAAAATCAATGCAGCTGGTTCATTATAATGAATAATCTGAGACCAAAATTATTTAATAAGGAAGTATTTCTGGGTTTCCCTTACCAAAAAAAAAAAACCCAAAAAAGTACCAACACGCCTTCCATAGCATACAAACACTAAGATTATCGTTTATGTATTATCGACTATGTTTTTGTGTGTGTGTGTGTGGAAATTCAGAACTGGTGGTACTAGGCAAACCCCAAAATATATTATGTGTTAGCCTAAGCTCTGAAGTTAGTGACATAATGCACATTTACTAAAATAAAACCAGGGGCAGAACACATGACTAATATTATAATAGGAAGACTGGAATCTAAATAATGTGAATTAATGACCAGCAATGTTCTTCATAGTTTACATAAAGAAACCAACAAAATGAAACAGTGAAGAAAAGCAACTCTAAACAATGTACAGCAGTCATCCCAGTCTGGCTTTGCAGACCAGAGCATTATAATGAGGAATATTCCTGCAGAGAATGTATGCTAGCAGGTCACCCAAACAGTATGTGATGGGAACAGCAAAATAGACAAGGATAAAAACTTTATATGAACCAGACTAAATGCCAGAGCCCCCAAGGGACTATGTCCAAGTATTAGATGTAGCTCACTGTCATCTTGGAAAGGAGAATGTGAAGGTCTTTTCATCAAAACCAGCCAATTTGGGTCTGTTCAACTTAAACACATTAGCGCAAACCTCCAGACAAGCCCATCTTATAAATAGTAAAACACACTGCTCTTTGGAAATGAAAGGAAACGCCCCAAGCGGCATCGACAACAAAAAGGGACAATCAAATGCGTAAGTCAACCAATCGGAAACCTAAAGAATGAAAAGAAAACCCCAGTGTAGGAAAAGCAAGTACAAAAATGGAGCACGATCCCCCCAAATCAAAGAAGAAACTAACCAGCTGAGTTAGGAGTCGAGGGTGAGTTAGCTTGGCTTCCATGGGCTGACACATTGGTAGCAGTGACAGCCGTTTTGGCAGCATAAATATTGGCTTCCTCTTGAAATTTACCTATGTTCTTCTTGTACCGGATTCGCTTATTTCCAAACCAGTTTGATACCTGGAGCAGTTAAAGAGAAGAGGAGAAAGTTAACATTCTGTCCTGCGCAAACATCTCAGAGGAAAAGGAAGGTACTGGGAGGGCTGGAGGCAGGCTGCACGGGCTGATCCTAATTCTCATTTTGAAACACCAATGAGAAGATCTGAAGGAAGGGCACCGAGAGGGACCCTTGCACACAACGCAGTTCTCCTGCTTAATACAACACCATTTAGCAAAAACAATGCAGCAGAACATCCTACGGAGGAGCTGCTCATTTGGATTTGGATTTGGACAATTTTAGTTTAGGACAAGCATTTTAAAATTGCTTACCTCTTGAGAACACGACACCAAAATAAACAGCATTTCAGGAGAAATGTTACTTATCAACGCTAACACTGACTTTGAGCAATCAAGAGGCACAGACTTGTAATCATCCATACAAATCCGTATCAACATACAGGTGCTCTCACTGAAGGATTAATTTCAAATTTTTAGAAGTTGAATAATTGCTAATATGGACTAGATTCTTAGCTGCAGGTACTGTGGACCTTAGGATCAAGATAATCTGATCGGATAGTTTTCACCAAGTATTTTGAGCAAAGCTTGATGTTATCTACAGGAGGAAAAACTGAAGCATAGCAGAGATTAGTCCTTTGAATTCCAGGCTTTAAATGTTAAAGCCAATACACAAAATAAACCTAATTTACTTTTACTTGTTAATTTATTTCCTTCATGTGGCTCACAGCAGCCGTCCTGGCTTCATTCTGCATCCCCGTTCCCTTTATACCAAGACCCCTGCCAGACACAAGGGGCGACGCAGTTAAATTCAAGTTTTACCCCCGTCATTCCTGCCTTACGAGGAACGCTTTACACCCCATAGTCCAGATGTGATTTCAAACTAAAATGTTGTTTTTTTTTTTTTTTTTTAATAAAATTACAAAACAAACTATGAAGCTGGTGAGGGAAGAGAAAGTTGGTAACACATGTACCACAGCTGACACGTAGTTTCTCTTTACCCGAACAATGGCCGATAAAGGACGTTTTTGTAAAACCGCAGTTACCTTTTAAATGCATTAGCAAAAGTTAAAAATCCAATAAGGTAAGCCCTCCTCTGCCTGTGTGGCTTACGCTACGGGAGGGAATGCCAAGCCTTTGTTATCAAAACCAAACCATACCATTGCAGTATTAGTAAATGAGAGGAGAAAAATTCAATGAGAAATTGCTTGAGTCATTGTAAATGCTGGTGCCTACAGGAGAGCAAGGGCCATTTTAGGACCACTGCATATCTAATTCCATTCCCAAACTCATGCTTTCCTTGTTATAACTTTCACTATTCGTATGACGGAGAGGAAAAGAGGCAGGGAGATTTTTCTAAGGTAACTGGATGTGTTGGAAAAAAGGGGGAAAGATGAAGGTAGTTTGGGAGGACTTTAGAGAAGGAAAGAAATGCCTGAGGTCTAGTTAAATAAGCTACTTGAGAAGACGAGAAGGAACATGTTGTGGGAGTGAGTCTCTTCTCAACGAGAAGAACAGACGGGTGGGCAAGATGCTTGGTCAGTTCAGGCATTCCCTACATGGCCCACGAGGTGATACTGGATGTCCTGAGCCATGTACATAATCAGTGCTTTCATTAATTAATTTGCTGTTCATAGTCACGGAAGGTCTGCCATGTGCTAGGCACTAGGGACACAAAGAGGACAGACACAGTCTGAGACAGGTAATACGGAAAAAATAATCAGTTCTCTGGGGAGAGTTTGATCACATTTCAAACATGTTAAGTTTGAAGAGCCCAGGCAGAGCCATGGCAAAGTCCAGTGGGAAGGAAGACACATGAGTCAGTCTTAACTGACTGAGCCACCCAGGGGCCCCAAGATGGGGGGGCAATTATTAACCAAAAAAACTGACAAAAACAACAAAAAACCCAAAAAACAAAAAAGAAAGGAACAGCCCCAAAATGGCTACAATAAAAAAAGTCCAAAATCGGGATCCCCTAGATTTGGGAACTTAAGGGAGATTTAATAAATCATGTGGTCCAACAAACCATGATTGGCAGATGGGACAACTAGGACCCAAAAAGAGGGAGTTCCCTAAAATCTCACAGTTGACTCCTGACAAAAACATGTTCCTAGACAAATGCTTTTATTATTGTATCATATCATACTGTCTCCCAATGGGACTTGTTTGGCAACAGCGGAACAGCTCTGTTGTAGTTGGGAGGGAGTCATGTGATGGGGAAGGAAGAATGGCATGGCCTTAGGGTGGGTGAAGCAAAGCGAAAGGTGATACAGTATGTAAATATTCATTTTAATGGACAAACTATGTGCACCTGAGTTTCCATAACAAAGGAAGTGAAAGTTGCTGGAACAGGCCGGGATTCCATCTTTGATCTAGATAGAATACAGACTAACTCCAGAACAGTTCCTTCTACCTTCAATAGGGATTTAGAATTCTGAATCCCAGAATTAGAATTCAGACAGTCTAGTGATTTAGTTCTACTTTAGAAGCAGAAGATTCCATGTATCAAATTTACTGATGGTCAGTTAGTGATATGGTTCATGCCTGGAACCATTCCTCAAACAGGCAGCAAATATCAAAAACCATCAAATATCTTTTCTTGTGGACAAGGGATCTAAAGTTGGACAAGAATGGTTAGAGACCTAGATAAAACCAGGTGACCGGAGTTTGACCACTCATGTTCTGCTTTCCTAGGGTTAAGACTGGAACAACCTTCACCTGGGTCAAAGCACCTGCGGAAGGTCTGAGTTGAAAGGGTTGGTGTTTCCAAGGCTGCTGCAAAATCCCCCACAGCCTGTTGGGGAGGCCCTGGTGAGCTCTTCATTGCACACACTCTGTGTGGAGGTCTATATTCTGACTGGACCTAACTGAGCTTAGCTAAGCACAGGTTGATGGGATCAGCAGGGAGTAACGGAAGCTAGGATTCAATTCAAGGAAGTACAAATGCTCAGTGTATACAAAACAGCATCTATTTTTTTTTTTAAAGATTTTATTTACTTATTTGAGAGAGAGAGAGAATGAGATAGAGAGAGCATGAGAGGGGGGAGGGTCAGAGGGAGAAGCAGACTCAGGGAGCCCGATGCGGGACTCGATCCCGGGACTCCAGGATCATGACCTGAGCCGAAGGCAGTCGCTTAACCAACTGAGCCACCCAGGCGCCCCCAAAACAGCATCTATTTTGCTTGGAAAATGCTAAGTGAAGTTTCTTGCTACAGTAGGCTTCTTTCCCCCACCCCCTACCTCTTTTATGAAAAGGCCAGTACATATGGTCCTCTTGCATGAGACATATTTCAGAGGAAATTTCTCTGATAGCTTTCAGAACCATCATTACTGTTCTCAGCTAGAGACCAGGGGTGGTATTTGAGGTTCAGATTAAATAAGAAGTTTTGGACAGATCCCTTGAGTAGACAAAATATAAATACATATAAATATTGCCTACTTTTCTACTTCATACTAACGTTGAAGACTCCAGGTCGATAAAAATGTTTTATCATGTACCTTTCCACGTCAAAGGCATCTGTTATGGTTATCGCTCTTTGTGGAAAAGGGGCACCCAGTGACATTTTGTGCAACCATTCCAATGCAATCATAGTGACATGTTAAAATTCCCACACTCCATCAGTTACAGAGCGAGCACATCAAGAGAAGACATTTGAGTCCCTTTCCCTGAAAAGTTCCATTCACTGACTCTTTCCTGAGTTGGGCACAAGATGGACTAAGGAATGGACTGTGTTTGAGAAAAACAGTATGAGAAATGCGGATAGCTTTCCAAGGACAGGCAAGAACCTTGACCCATTTCTGAAGCAACGGAGCATTCAATGGGAAGAATCCTACCCCTGTTTGTCTACTGTACTCTACTTCTCCCACTTCTGCTGGTCCCTCTCAAGTTTGTCCAGGTACTTACCTGGAAACTCTCCTACTTAAACACCTCACGTGCTTCCCTTGCCATGTGAGGGCTTTAGCAAATGGAACCTGCAAGGCATGAAAGCTCAGTAAAGCAACACCTCTGAGAGCAGAGCCAGGCTACAGGCTGAGCCTTTGGAGGGCTCCTCACCTGGGACACTGTGATGCCACACTTCTTGGCTAGCTCCTCTTTGGCTTCCTCACTGGGATAAGGGTTGCTGAGATGGGAATAGAAATATTCATTCAGGATTTCCGTCGCTTGCTTGTTGAAGTTCCGTCTCTTCCGCCTTCATAAAGAGAAAAGAAAGAACGACAAAAAAAAAAAAAAGTTCACACCAAATACATATAAAGAGGGAGAGACGGGGATCTACTTCTGTGAAAAGACAAATTTTTGAGCAAAAAGTGGATTAGAGGAAATTTGCACCAAGGGGCTGGCTGCCAAAGCCGTCACTGAAAGTATCTGTATGCTATAGAACCAAGGTATGAATTCAGGTCTGCTTAACTACAAAACCCAACCTCGTTCTTACGTACAAATTGCCTCCTGGCAATTACAAAGACTCTGGAGGCTTCCATTAAAAATAAGTTATTATTTTCCCTTTATTCCATTCCCAGGTAAATGCATACAGAATTTTTTTAAAGGCATCTGGGGAAGAGGGTGTGGAAGGCACTGAAATTAGCCCCCTGGACTGTGTGACCTCCCACAGAAGGAGACAAGTAGCACTTTTCAAGCAAGAACAGCGGCTAAATGGTAAAACAAAAGCCCACAGAAATCTCTTTGATACACAGGTTGCTGAAAGGAAGAGAACTACTTTTTGAATAAAAGCATCTTTGTCTTTAAAAAAAAAAAGTGCTAATTGAACTAATTTAAAGTGAGAATCATTTACTACCTCCTCACGGCTAAGGCCCATAGGCAGCCGGGGGAGCTGTTTGGGGACGCCAGGCTCACAGTAGAAGCTGGTTGGCCCTCCTCAAGGTGGTGGGGACTCCATCTTTAAATTAGCTCCATTAGCACTTTGCCTTTCTTGCTTTTATCAAAAGCTTTTTCCTTATGGAAGAGATTTCCAGAACATTCTTGGTTATGCCAGGATACAGGATTTCCCAATTTAGCCCAACAGAAAGCACAGAACAGCCTCGCTAGACAAGAAATTCAGCTAATATTGTATTTTCAGGGTCCCACTTGGATTAATTAACACAATAAAGTACCTGATTTTACCAGATGAACACCATCTGTCCATAGGTATTAACCACATCTGTCCAGACTATGCCAAGCCCAAGTCACTTTCCCAAATCATGCTGAGTTTCTGGGTCACCCAGCATCAGAAATTGGGCAGAATGGATTAAAAAAAAAAGCCCAACTCAAAAAATAGGTATTTGTTAAAAGTCCTTGTCTGCTGGGAATTTGGGGGAAGATAGCCAAGCGGCCAACGTGGGCTCCAGGCCAGACTTTAGATAACCTTTGGCTTCTTCTCTACCTAAAGAAAACAGTTGTCTTAGGCCTGGGGAACTGGACCCTGAAGGCTCCCCTAATTGGGAGAACCTCGGTTCATTCATTCAGCTGTCTGCATTAGCATCACACTGTATTTTTTGGGAGTCTTCCAACTGAGCTCAAAGGAAGCCTCCCTGGAATGAGCTGGTGGTAGAGGCCAGTGCCGACAAGCTGTTCCTGACTCTCTTCTCACACTGCTGTGCAACATTCCCTGGGTGGTCTCATCGACTCTGATGGGCTCCCTTATCACACTGCTCTCAGTGGCTGTCTCCACGGAGGGCCTTGGAAATCCCAAGATCAGGACTTTTCAGGACTTCAGGACACCTAGTGAAAATGAGACACTTCTGACCGTAAGGTTCTTTGAGCTAGACACCTGGCTTTGGCTTGAAGTGGGATCAGCTTGGTGAGTTAACATTTGTGACTTCGAGCCAATCAAAAGCCTTGGGAGTTAGGTATCTGGGTGTTTAATGTTAAGGAATGTGGAGGTTGATCGAATAGTACTGGATAAATGCAGCATTTTAGGAATGAAACCTTTTGAATCAGAGTGAGGCAAGAGTGGGAGGTGTAGGCACTCCAGACACCGTTGCTAAATACCAAATGTGTTACCTCCTGCCCTGTCGACTCTCCTAAGGGTCACTGCCCATCTACCACCACAATCCCCAGGCACTTCCAACACACTCTGTATCTCCAAAACTCGCATCGCATTTCACCCAAACCAGCTCCATTGTCTTCCTTCCCCACATCACCATGGATGCGGTACACTGTGTCTAATTTGTTCATCCATCCATTCATTCAAATATTTGAGTACCTAGCAGGTGCCAGAACCTAGGGGTGGTTCTTTTTTTTTTTATTATTCTTATGTTAATCCCCATACATTACATCATTAGTTTTA